AATACAATAAACAAATAAATAAACATTTATTTTTTTATTGTATTTTTGGGGGGCAATTAATTGTAAGCTAATTTATTTTTATGGAGCCTTCTTTTATTTCTATTTATTTTTAATTATGGCAGGATTGGTCCTCCATACTACAAATCGGTTTATTTGCTTAAATAATTCTCACACTTTGTTTAGCCTCTGGAAGTGGCTCGATACAATGACAATGTGTGCAGGAAGTGTTTTTCCAGGGTGTTGGAAGAAACAGTTGATATTTAATAACACCAAACAAAACACAACTTTGATCTTTATATTGGAGAAACCAAACAACCAAATGACCCGTGGCCCAACATAGAAGAGCGCCCTCCTCAGGACAAGACTCTGTGGTACATCTACACTGATACATTCTTTGGGGGACCAAAATAGACCAGAATATAATAGGACCAGCCCATTGTTAGCTGCTGCAGGCGTTAGCCCGTCTGCAGCGGCCAGGGCTACATTACCCCGTCTGCAGCGGCCAGGGATAACGTTAGCCCGTCTGCAGCGGCCAGGGATAACGTTAGCCCGTCTGCAGCGGCCAGGGATAACGTTAGCCCGTCTGCAGCAGGCCAGGGCTAACGGTAGCCCGTCTGCAGCATCCAAGGCTAACGGTAGCCCGTCTGCAGCATCCAGGGCTAACGTTAGCCAGTCTGCAGCATCCAAGGCTAACGTTAGCCCGTCTGCAGCGGCCAGGGATAACATTAGCCCGTCTGCAGCGGCCAGGGATAACATTAGCCCGTCTGCAGCATCCAAGGCTAACGGTAGCCCGTCTGCAGCATCCAGGGCTAACGTTAGCCCGTCTGCAGCGGCCAGGGATAACATTAGCCCGTCTGCAGCGGACAGGGCTAACGTTAAGGCTAACCCTCTCTCAGCATAGCCGTGTGTGAAATACCACTGTCTGTGATGGAGATTTTTTTGTTTTATTTGGCTAAATGTTAATTTGATTTATGTTTATCTGACTGTGTTCATTATTATTCCTCCACTAAATGAAAAAAAAGTAATAATTTATTATTATCTAAAGACTATTAATAACAGGAGGTGAAATGCAGCTCCAGACGAGCTTTGAATGTGGTGATGTCATCAGTGCGCTTCTGTTCCAGTTGACCCAGATTTATTCTGCGTGCTCCGTTCTCCCAGAGTCCAGACTTTCCTGTGTTCTTCTCTAGAACATCCTTGGCGAGGAAACGAGTTCGTACTCGCGTTCCTGTGAACTGAGAAATGATTTTAGTGTTATGCTTGTAGACGTTTGCATTAGGATGATCAAATTTCCTGTCAGAAATTGCTTCAGTATTTTAACATGACGCTTATTTCTAATGATGCACATCAGTCGCTTCTGGAGCAAACCATGCTGCAGACCTCAGACTTCATCTCTGGTACGTTGGCTTCCAAACCTTTCTTTTTTAAAGTAATGCTAGTAAATTTACACCCATTCTCACCTCTATCTGGAACACATTCCTATTGGTCTGTGCGTCGACCAATAGGAATGAGTCTCCTTTGTGGACCTTAAAAAACAGCAATTCAATTGGTCGCCGCAAAGACCACCGAAATCTGTCACTAAAAAAGTTACGATGTCACAAATAATTAGAAAAAAATAACATTTAAAACTAAAATATTTGGAAAACAATTTTGGGAAAATATTAGCTTTTTTTTGTTTTTTTCAAATTTCTGTTTTTTTTTTTTTAACAAGCTCTTCAGTTTTCGATAAATAAAAGTAAAAGCAAAAGAAATTGCTTTAAACAGAGTATAAAAGTGTTTGGTAGACTACTTGGATACGGAGTAACTAACATAACTTATTCAATATTTTAAAATTGTCTCTCCTTAAAGAAAAAATATATAAAGTTGTGTCCAAATGCCGATATTTAAATGACTATGATACTTACAGTCATTATTGTAAATACAGTGAGTGAAAACAGTGCAGATATCTACTGTATGTAACAAAGCTGGTGCAAAGACAGGAGGTCTCACTCTAACAGAAAGTCTAATCATGTCTCTGACATTTTTAGTCAAATCAATAGTTTTATTTTCAGTAAAGTTAATCAAGGAGGGCAGAAAATCCAGACATTTTTACTCAGGTA